TATTCTCCAAAGTGCCCGAAGGCAGGACAAGAAGCGACAGATGGGAACTCACAGAGGAGAGAAGCCACCTGGAATTAAGGAGAAACTTCCTGACAGGGAGGACAATTAACCAGTGGAACCGCCTGCCACCAGAAGTTGTATTGGCTTCATTAGCGGAGATTTTTCAAGAAGAGGCTGGACAGCCCCTTTGTCTGAAAGGGTTCAAGGTTCCCTGCCTGGGCAGGGGGTTGGACTAGAGGACCTCCGAGGTCCCTTCCAGCTCTGGATCTGTGATGTACAACCATCAGGGCAATGGTTTGCCTCCGGAAGCTGTGGGTGCTTTTAAGAAGAGACCGGACAGCCCCTTGTCTGAAATGGCGTGGGGTTGGACTAGAGGACCTCCAGGGTCCCTGCCAGCTCTCTCCTGAGGGGATGGATCTGACGCTTCCTGCCCTCCCCAACAGGATTCTCCTAGAACCGGAAAATGGGATCTTACCGGTGGTGCCGGACCTCCCGGAGATAAGTTTTGAGTTGCCGCTGGAGAAGGACGTGATCACCTTGGGCTACGTCCGCAGGTGAGGGGACCCCCCCCGCCCCCTGGCAGCCCCCCCCCCGTTTGGAAAGGCGGAATTCCTCCCCTTGGCCCAAAATGCTTTTTTCCTTCGGCTTCCAAAGAGCGGCTTCTTTTAAAAATGGAAAAAAAAAGAGGAAGCTGTTAAGGGGGTCTAGGAAGGGGTGGGAGAGAGAGGGTGGAGGAATCCCTCCCTCCCTCCTTCTTGCCTTTGTTGCTTCTTTTACCTCCCTCCCTCCCTCTTTCCTTCCCCCTCTTCTCCCTCCATTCCTTCCTTCCTCCCTTCCCTCTTCCCTTCATTGCTTCCCTTTTACCTTCCTCCTTTTTCCTCTCTCCTCTCCCCCTCCTTTCTCTTCCTGCTCTTTCCTTCCTTCCAGCCCTCCCTCCTCCATTCCTTCCCTCCCCTTCATTGCTTCCCTTTTACCCTCCTCCCCTCCCCCTCCTCTCCCTTCCTTCTTCCCTTCCCTCCCTCCCTCCTTCTTCCATTCATTGCTTCCCTTTTACCATCCTCCCTCCCTCCCTCTTCCTCCCTCCCGTCCCCCTTCTCTTCCTCTTCCTCTTCCTGCTCCCTACCTCCCTCTTTTCTTTCTTTCTTTCTTTCTCTTTCTTTCTTTCTTTCTTTTTCTTTTTCTTTCTTTCCTCTTTTTCTTTCTTCTTTCCTTCCTCCCTCCCTCCCTTTCCTTCCCTCCCTTCCTCTTCCTCCCTCCCTCCTGTCCCCTTCTTTTCCTCTTCCTCTTCCTGCTCCCTACCTCCCTCTTTTCTTTCTTTCTTTCTTTTTTTCTTTCTTTCTTTCTCTTTCTTTCTTTCTCTTCTTTCTTTTTTTCTTTCTCTTTCTCTCCTTTTTCTTTCTTCTTTCCTTCCTCCCTCCCTCCTTCCTTCTTCCCTCCCTCCCTCTTCCTCCCTCCCTCCCGTCCCCTTCTCTTCCTCTTCCTGCTCCCTCCCTCCCTCCCTCTTTTCTTTCTTTCTCTTTCTTTCTTTCTTTCTTTTTCCTTCTTTCTTTTTCTTTCTCTTTCTTTTTCTCTTTCTTTCTTTTTCTTTCTTCTTTCTTTCCTCCCTCCCTCCCTTTCCTTCTTCCCTCCCTCCCTCCCTTCTTTTTCTTTGCCCTCTTTCTCCTCCTCCCCTCTTCTGTCCCAAGGCCCAAACCCCTTTTGGCAGGAGAACCGATGTCTCCTCTGACTTTTGCCTGGCAGGTTGGTGGCAGCCAAGCTGGAACAGCTGGAAGAGGTTGATTTCGATCAGCTGGTGCCCCTCACGGCTTCCCGCGCTGTGGCCAGCCGTGTCTTCTACATGTGTCTGGGTGCGTATTTCTATATTTCTCGTGATCCCACCATTGAGGGTGGCTTGTTTTAACCTCATGTATGCATCATTTAGGCCGTTCCTTTATCCTCCCCCTCCCCGCTTTGCAAGTTACAAGAAAACAATCTCCTAGTCCATCGGAGGTCTCTGCGCCCTGCAGCACAAGGGCTGGGAATTGTGGGGCGCGCGACCATATTCCTGACCGCCATCTTGCAAACACAGGTCAAGCCTTTTGTTTGGGAGGCGAATGCGTGAAAAGATCTTTCAAACACAGGTGGTCCTTGACGCACGACCGTAATTCAGCTCGGAAGTACGGACGTAAAAGTTGTGCTGGTCATTAAGCAGGTCACAATTTTACAGCTATGACTTGGATCACTAAGGTCCTTAAGCGAGCACTGTTAGTTGTTAAGCGAATCCATTTTACCCAATGGGCATTTTCCACTGGAAACCAGAATAAACACCAATTTCTGGCAAAAAAAAAAAAAAATGTCATAAATTGTGCTCCTGTTTCGCTGAGATGCTGAAAATACCCATAAAAAGCAGGCTGGTTGCTGAGCACCTTAAATGCGATCACGTAACTTCAAATCTGGGTCCTAAGTAGCCCTGGGTAGGACGGTCGTAACTCTGAACCGCCGGTCGTTGAGGACTCCCTGTATCCTCCATAGAGCGTCTTTCCTCTCCCTAGTTCTTGCCGCAGCTCAGATCCTGTGCTTGGAACAAAAGGAGGCTTATGGTCAGATCATCATTAAGCCAGGAGCGCGTTTCCCTCACAGCTAGCAGATTCGGCAGTGGATCTTGGCTAGCTCGTCAACACGGGGGGGGGGCTTCGTCATTCTGACACGGTCCCTTCTCCCCCCCCCCTAACCCCTCCCCCCCAAATAAAGGTGCCTCCTTGGTGAAGATTCAGCCTTGCCAAGAAGACCCATTTGGTGTTTCAGGTGACATTTTGGATTAAACCAATGTATTTTTCAGATTCTGGTTCTTTGCAGTTCCCCTTTTTTGTAAATAAATCTGTTGGGTTTTAAATTGCGAGCAGAGATTTGTCATTTTGAATTTCTAGCATAGATTATTTTATACACACACACACACACACACACACACACACACACACAGGTCTTTGGTTATTTGGGTTTTCTCCCACGTAAAATTGGAAGTGTCTTGGCGACGTTTTGACGAAGTCTCATTCGTCATCTTCAGGCTGGTGCTTTCGGCTTCGTGCTTCTAGGAGCAAGCACCAGCCTGAAGATGACGAATGAGACTTCGTTGAAACGTCGCCAAGATACTTCCAATTTTACATGGGAGAAAACCCAAATAACCAAAGACCTATACACATACATACATACATACATACATAAACTGAAATTGATAAATTGCTAACCTAGAAACCAGGAAAGGGTGAGTTCTAAACCCATCTGAAGTATGAAAGCCAGCTGGGTGACTTTGGCCCAATCACCACGAGACGGTGAGTTCTAGTCCAGCGGTAGGCAACCCAAAACACTCGAAGAGCCACTTGGACCCGTTTCCCACCAAAAACAAAACACTGGGAGCCGCAAAACCCTTTTGATATCTAAAATGAAGATAACACTGCATATATCCTTTTTTTACCTTTATTATAGAGGTGTGTGTGTGCGCGTGTGTGTGTATGTTTGTGTGTGTGTGTGTGTATATATATATATATATATATAGGTCTTTGGTTGTTCGGGTTTTCTCCCGCGTAAAATTGGAAGTGTCTTGGTGACGTTTCGATGAAGTCCCATGCGTCATCTTTCATGCTGGTGTTATTCGCTTCGTGCTTCGAAGCTCAAAGCAAGAAGCTAAAAACCCCCGCCTGAAGATGACGAATGTGACTTCGTCGAAACGTTGCCAAGACACTTCCAATTTTACGCGGGAGAAAACCCGAACAACCAAAGACCTATATACAAATACCCGCGAACACCTCAGAAAACCCATAATATATATAGATATATGTATTATATATATACACGTACACACACACACACACACACACACACACACACCACACACACGCACATACATACTCCACAACACCACACACTTAGAAAATAAAAGTTAATATACTCTTGGGAATATCCATACTATTAGAAAACAATTATCACCAAGAGAATGCTAAAGAGAATAAAATTCATACCACAAGGTAAGGAAATTGATATCGCAGTGTTATCTTCATTTTAGATGTCAAAAGGGTCTCTCTCTCCCTCCCTCTCTATCTGCCCTTGGTCTGCCACTCCTCTTCCCCCACTCTCTCTCTCCCTCTCTCTCTCTTTCTCTCTCTCTTTCTCCTCCCCTCCTCCTATCTGCTGCTCACCTGGCAAGCTTCAAGCTGTTGTCCAACAAGCTCAGGGGTAAGCAACCTCATCTCTTTTATGACTCATGGACTTCAACTCCCAGAATTCCTGAGTCAGCCTAGCTGGGCTAGCTAGCTCTCTCCTGCCCTTCCTGCTTCCTGCAGAGATGCAGCAAAGGGAGGAGCTGCGCCCAGTAAGCTTTTCAGCTCCTCGGAGAACACTGTGAGTGCACTCTCTTTTACACACACACACACACATAGAGAGAGAGAGACAGAGAGAGAAGCAGGGAAGCACAATTGTCTCTCTCTGCAAAGGCAGAGGAGGCTGGGAGCCACAGGGGAAGGCTCAAAGAGCCGCATGCGGCTCCGGAGCCGCAGGTTGCCGACCTGTGTTCTAGTCTCACCTTAGAATGAAAACCTTTTTGGTGACTTTGGGCCAACTCCCAGGAGGTTGTGAGTTCTATTCTTGTCTTAGATGTGAAAGCCAGCTGGGTGACTTTGGGCCAATCACCAGAAGATGGTGAGTTCTAGTCCTACCTTAGCCATGAAAGCTGGCTGGATGAGTTTGGGCCAATCACCAGGAGGCGGCGAGTTCTAGTCCTGCCGTAGCCATGAAAGCCAGCTGGGGTGACTTTAGGCCAATCACCAGGAGGCGGCGAGTTCTAGTCCTGCCGTAGCCATGAAAGCCAGCTGGGGTGAATATTTGGGTCAATCACCAGGAGGCGGCGAGTTCTAGTCCCGCCTTAGACACGAAAGCCGGCTGGGTGACTTGAGGTAAATCAGTGTCTCTCAGCCCAACCCACCTCACAGGGATGTTGTGGGGAAAACAGGAGGAGGAAATAGGCAAGTTCGCCCCCTTGAATTATTTATAAACTCATACAGGCGAGAGAAAAAGCCTACTAAAAATACAAAACACAAACGTCTGATCTTTATTAGCCTTTACGAGAGCAACTTCAGTCAGCTGAGACTTGATTAACTATTCTAGATTTCTTTGTAGATTTTTCTAACTAACACAGGGGGTCTTCAAATTCGGCCCTTTGATGACTTGTGGACTTCAACTCCCAGAATTCCTCAGTCAGCATGAGGGAACTATGGCCCTTTGATGACTTGTGGACTTCAACTCCCAGAATTCCTCAGCCAGCGTGAGGGAACTATGACCCTTTGATGATTTGTGGACTTCATCTCACAGAATTCCTCAGCCAGCGTGAGGGAACGATGACCCTTTTGACTTGTGGACTTCAACTCCCAGCAGTGCCTGGCTGAGGAATTCTGGGTGTTGAAGTCCACAAGTCATCAAAGGGCCGAGTTTGAAGACCCCCTACTCTAACACATGCAATTTGGCTGCCTTTCCGCTCACTTTTTAATCTGGCAATTGTCTGCTGAGGGGAAAAAAGGAAATTATTTAGAAGAGGGATCTTAACAAATCCCCTGCTAAGCCTTTCGGGGCTCTTACCGTCTTTGCAATGTTCAGAAACGTTACGGGAAGCCGCTTTCAGAGAAACAAGTGTTTAATTTTATTACAAGGTACTGCATACAGTATACTTTTTAAACTTTTCTTCCCCACCCCCAAAAAAAGGCCAAACCAGAAAGTTAAAATCTTAAATACCAGTGACCAACAGCAGAGCTGATTTGTGACGCCGTTGCTTTTTGGCAGGAATCCAGCTTAGGAAAACCAAAAAAACCCCATAGAAAAACCACATTTTAGCAAAAATAACAACTCCTAACGAACTTTGTGCACAGCAAATCTGCCCCGTTGCAAAACAACGTGGGGCGGTCAAGGTCCGAGAAAACTTTGCCCGGAGCGACGGACACAGTCCCCGGCTTTCTTTCTTTTTTTTTTTGGCAACACGCACAAAAAAAATCAACAGAATAATAGTTGTGATAACTGTAAAAAAAAAAGAAAAAAGAAAAAAAGGAACTGCTATTCACAAACAAGGCAAAGTGGTGGATTGAGCAGCAGCTACGAACGTGCAGCCGTTGTGGGTCTCTTGCGCACAAGAGCGATTTGCATCAGGGCGTGAACGCCCGCTAGTGCCGACACAGAACGAAACCGATCAAACCGGATCTCAACCACACCAGGAGCCACACTTTGGAAGGTGCCAGCCAACAATGTGTGTGTTGACAACTGAGCAAGTCACCAGATCTTAATGTCGGCCTTCCTGGAACGGCAAACGAGTTACCACTTCTGCAGGCTGCTTTTTTTTTTGTCTTTTTTTTCTTTTGGCCTAAAGTGCATTTTTGAAAGCCTGGGATGTTTGCATCAAAGCGAATTCCCTCGCCGGTAAAAAAAAATAAAAATAAATGATACTCAACCTCAAATCTCACCGCCTGGCGGATTTATTCTCCGGGGCGAGTTAAAAAGAAACTTCCTTTGGAAGTAAAAACAGGTCGTGTGCGGGGTTCCCCCCCCCCCCAGGCTCACAAACTTGTGTGGCGGGACAGTCCGATGGAAAACTGCCAAAAGGAAATCCAGATGTTTCAAATTCCCTTAGCAGTAGTTGTTGAGCAAATTGTTTTTGCAACCAGCATCAGGAATATGCAGAAAATGCAAATGACACAAAGAGGAGGAGGAGGAGGAAGAGGAGGAAGAAAGAGCTTAACTGTGGAAAAAATATCAAACAATCGCTTGGTTTCCCCCCTTCTCTCCCCTTCCCACCCATGCAACACAAACACAGCCGCCCAGCTGCAATTCGGAACGCCGGAGAGTCTGCCTTTGGATCGGGCGCAAACGCTGAAAGTGGGGTGGGTCAAAACCGACGGTGGACGGACCGATCCTGGCCCGCAAAGAAGAACGTGGGGCTCTTTGCACAACCGTCATCATCGCTGGCCTGGCCTGGCCTCGGAAGTCCTCGGAAGCTGGGAGGAGAGCGCCCCTTCCTGGCCGTTTCAAGCAGAGCCGATGGCCGCCTGGATCGAAGTGCCGACTTCCGCAGGGCTGGCCAGGAGGGCTGTTTGAAACTCGGCCGGGCATCGGGCCGAAAGGCTGGCCAGGAGGGTAAGCAGGAGATTCCGGGCTTCTGCAGAGACCGAAAAAAATTCCCCGTTTTAGGACCTTCCGGGGCCCACGGTTTGCTTGAGGGAGTCGCATGCAGTCGTTAAGCTAGAGACACGGTCGTTAAGCAAATCCGGCTTTCCCCCACGATTTCTGTCAGATGGTCGCAAAAGGGAGTCACGTGACCCGCAGGGACGCCGCAACTGTCATAAATACCAGTCAGTTGCCAAGTGTTTGAAGTTGGATCACCTGACTGTAGGGGGGGGGGATGCTGCTACGCTGGTCCTACGTCTCTTTTTCTCAGTGCCGTTGTAACTCTGCACGGTCACTAAATGAACTTTTTATAAAGCTGAGGACTACTGATATATTTTCTCTCCGTTCACCCTAAGAGAGATTTACTCGCAACCATTGGATGTTGTCGACTTGTGGACTTCAACTCCCAGAATTCCCCAGCCGGCCATCGCAGCTGCAGTGGTCCGCTTAACAAATGTGGCAGGAAAGCTCTCAAAATGGGGCAAAATAAGCGTAATAAATGTTTCCCTTAGCGACAAAAAATTGGGGCTCCGTTACTTTCGTAGGTCAAGGGCTGCCTGTAACTTATAACCAGTGGAACGACTTGCCACCAGAAATTGTGAATGCTCCAACACGGGAAGGTTTTAAGAAGAGACTGGACAGCCATTTGTCTGGAATGGAGTAGGGTTTCCTGCCTGAGCAGGGGGTTGGACTAGATGACCTCCAAGGTCCCTTCTGACTCCTATTCTATTCTATATTTTATTATTCTATTATATTCTGTTCTATTCTATTCCTTATTCTATTCTATTTCTATTCCTATTCTATGTTATTTTTATTCTATTCTATTTATTCTATTCTATTCCTTATTCTATTCTAATCCTATTCTATTCTATCTTCTATTCTATTTCTTATCTATTCTATTTCTTATTCTATTCTATTTCTATTCCTATTCTATCCTTCCTAGTCCTATTCCTATTCTATTCTATGTTATTCTATTCTATTTCTTATCTATTCTATTCCTTATTCTATTATATTCCTATTCTACCCTTCCTATTCCTATTCTATTCTACCTTACCCTATTCTATTCTATATTCTATTCTATTCCTTATTTTATTATTCTATTCTATTCTATTCTATTCTAATTCTATTCTATTCTATTCTAATTCTATTCTATTCTAATTCTATTCTATTCTATTCTAATTCTATTCTATTCTATTCTATTCTATTCTATTCTAATTCTATTCTATTCTAATTCTATTCTATTCTATTCTATTCTAATTCTATTCTATTCTAATTCTATTCTATTCTAATTCTAATTCTATTCTATTCTATTCTATTCTATTCTATTCTATTCTATTCTAATTCTATTCTATTCTGTATTCTATTCCATTCCGATGGAGGCACAGCTCCACTCCATCTTGCTGGATTCAGCCCAGCTGCCCCCTTCACTGCCCACCTCTGCCTCCTTCGCGCATCCAGAGAGAGACCCTCCGTAAGAAGAGGAAATACAGATGGATCGGCTGTAGTGACGGGGGAAACAGTGCCCACTCTGAAGGGACATACCTGTTGGCAGATTTTTGCAACCCAGGACAGGGCCACTACTTCGCACGATCTCCGGAATCTGTTGCAATACCTTTTGTGGGGAGAAAAAACAACAACAGAAAACAGAAGGTGAGGTAAGGCCTACCCTGAAAATAAGATCTGATGCCCCTTTTAGAGGCAAAAAAAAAAAAAAGGAAAAAAAGACACGATCTTATTTTCAGGGAAACACAGTATAAGGAACGGCTGCTGGAATTGGGTATGTCTAGTTTAATGGACAAGGGGGGACAGGATAGCAGTCTTCCAGTATCTCAGGGGTTGCCCCAAAGAAGAGGCAGTCAAGCTGTTCTCCAAAGCACCTGAAAGCAGGACAAGAAGCAACAGATGGAAACTCACCAAGGAGAGAAGCAACCTAGAACTAAGGAGAAATTTCCTAGAAGTGAGGACAGTTAACCAGTGGAACAGATTGTGAATTATGAATGTTTGAAGTTATGAATGCTCCAACACTGAAAGTTTTCGCTTAACAACCGTGCCCCTAAAAATGGGGCAAAACTCACTTAGCAACTTTCTCACTTAGCCACGGAACTCGTATGTTGAGGACTTGCCTGAGTTTCAAGCTTTCTTTTCAAAAAGCACAGCTGAGAGGACAAGTTAAGGTCAAACAACCTGAGCGGAAGCTGATTCTTCCTGGCTGGACAGGGACTCACCTGTGATGGGTCGTTCTGGTAAATAAACGCGACGCAACGGTAGACCGTTTTGTATTCCTCAAAGTCCTCTCTCAGCGGCAGGGCGTGAAGCAGGACGGGGAAAACCTGCGGAGACGAAGCCGGAGGACAGTCAGCAAACTCCAGGAGTCAGAGCTTCTCAAGCCTGTAGGGTTCCTAACATGGTTTGGCGCCTTCCTGAGGAAAAAGACAACGTTTCCTCAGGATCTAAGCCAGGATCCTCCAAGTTTGGCAACGTTTAAGACTTGTGGACTTCAACTCCCAGAATTCCCTCAGCCAGCAGGTTTAGTATTTTTTGGCTTAAAAAAGAGGGCTAGTTTTGGCCAGTGCTTAAGGTGCAGGTCTAGAAACCAGGAGATGACGAGTTCTAGTCCTGCCTTAGGCATGAAAGCCGGCTGGGTGTCTTTGGGCGAATCACCAGGAGACTGGAAGTTCTAGTCTTGCTTTAGGCATAAAAGGTGGCTGGGTGGCCTTGGGCCAATCGCCAGGAGGCGGTGAGTTCTAGTCCCGCCTTAGGCATGAAAGCTCACTGGATGTCTTTGGACCAATCCCCAGGAGACTGGAAGTTCTAGTCCCGCCTTAAGCATAAAAGGTGGCTGGGTGATCTTGGGCCAATCAGCAGGAGATGGTGAGTTCTAGTCCCGTCTTAGGTCTGAAAGCTGGCTAATTGACTTTGGACCAATCACCAGGAGACTGGAAGTTCTAGTCCCGCCTTAGGCATAAAAGGTGGCTAGGTGACCTTGGGCCAATCACCAGGAGACTGGGAGTTCTAGTCCTGCCTTAGGCATGAAAGCTGGCTGGATGTCTTTGGACCAATCACCAGGAGACTGGAAGTTCTAGTCCCACCTTAGGCATAAAAGGATGGCTGGGTGACTTTGGGCCAGTCACCAGGAGACGGTGAGTTCTAGTCCCATCTTAGTCTGAAAGCTGGCTAGTTGACTTTGAGCCAATCACCAGGAGGTAGTGAGTTCTAGTCCTGCCTTAGGCCTGAACGCCGGCTGGGTGATTTTGGGCCAGTCCCTCTTCCTCCGCCCGACCCACCTCACAGAGTAGCTTTTATGGGGAAAACAGAAGAATCTAGAGCAGTTTCTCAACCTTGACAATTTTAAGGCATGTGGACTTCAACTCCCAGAATTCCACAGCCAGCATTGCTGGCTGTGGAATTCTGGGAGTTGAAGTCCACATGCCTTAAAATTGTCAAGGTTGAGAAACACTGATCTAGAGGGGTTTTTTGCTGCCTTGAGTTATTTCCACCGTAATAAAACCAGGATTAAAAAAAAAACACACCTGAATACAGTAAACAAACCAGATCGTTAATTCCACATTACTAACCAGGATAGCCCCTGCTGTAAGTTTCCCCACATGGCAGTCGCCCTGCAGAGGTCCCCTCCACGCACACACAGACCCATAAAATTGTGTCGCACCTGTTCAACGGGCATCCCACTGGGATTGGTCATCAGCATCCTCGCCACAGCCCCACACACGTTGTCGGTCACTCGGTTGTTGCGCTCCTGGGCAATGAGGTTGGATAAAAGCGCCAGGATCTTGGGGTAGTGTCTGGCCAGGTTAAAAAGAGGTTAAGGAAAGAAAACGGGGTGTGTGTGTGTGTGTTTGTGTTTTGTGTAGGTGTGTGTTTGCGTGTGTAGAGAAAGTATTCATCTCTGCTCCTTCCCAGGGCAATTAAATGAGCTGCAGTGTACCACTAGTCCTCAACGTACAACTGCAAAGGAGCCGGTTGCCGAGTGACCAAATTTCGATCACGTGGCCGCGGGGACCGCCGCAACGGTCGTTAAGAGGTCGCCGTTTTTCGGTGCCGTCGTAACTCGGAACGGTTGCTAAATGAGGACTTGAAATACATTAACAGAATCCTGGAGGTCCCAAGGTGTAAATCTCCCACCGTCTCTCATTTATGCCCTGATACATCCTTTCTCAGTGTCTTCCTCTGTCCGTTATGCAGCTCTGGGCTAAGCTGTCTCTTCTCTAACCGCTTCCTCGGGTTTTGCCAAGGCCATACCCACTCACCATACCGGCAACCCCCCCACCACCGTGGAAGGGAACAAGGATACTCGTACATGGCTTCCTTGCCGTGTTCCGCCAGGACCCCCAGCCCAAAGACGGCGTTGCTGCGCACTTCCTGGTCCTCGTCACGGGCTGCCCCCATCAGCAAGGGCAGCAGGTGGGGGACGAACGAGCTGGAGGCCCCGCCCAGGCCCTGGACGGTCTCGGCACTGATGCCCACGGCGAAGGACTTGTCCGCGCTGGACGAGGACGCTTTCTGCAAAAGAGGGCGGGGAGAAAGGGAGGAAGGAAGTTGAGAGAGAGATAAGATAAGAGAGATAACCTTTATTGTCATTTTTTTTATTGTGGGCACAACAGTACAAGTCAAAAGTGAAATTTAGTTGCTCGCTCTCAGAGAGAGAAAGAGAGAGAGAGAGTGAGAGAGAGAGGAAAGAGGAAAAAAAGAGAGGGAGAGAGAGAGGAAAGGGAGAGAGGAGAGAGAAAGAGAGAGTGAGAGAGAGAGAGAGAGGAAAGAGTAAAGAGGAAAAAAAGAGAGGGAGAGAGAGAGGAAAGGGAGAGAGGAGAGAGAAAGAGAGAGTGAGAGAGAGAGAGAGAGGAAAGAGGAAAGAGGAAAAAAAGAGAGGGAGAGAGAGAGGAAGGGAGAGAGGAGAGAGAAAGAGAGAGTGAGAGAGAGAGAGAGAGGAAAGAGGAAAGAGGAAAAAAAGAGAGGGAGAGAGAGAGGAAAGGGAGAGAGGAGAGAGAAAGAGAGAGTGAGAGAGAGAGAGAGAGGAAAGAGTAAAGAGGAAAAAAAGAGAGGGAGAGAGAGAGGAAAGGGAGAGAGGAGAGAGAAAGAGAGAGTGAGAGTGAGAGAGAGAGAGAGAGAGAGAGGAAAGAGGAAAGAGGAAAAAAAGAGGGAGAGAGAGAGAGGAAAGGGAGAGAGGAGAGAGAAAGAGAGAGTGAGAGAGAGAGAGAGGAAAGAGGAAAAAAAGAGGGAGAGAGAGAGGAAAGGGAGAGAGGAGAGAGAAAGAGAGAGAGAGAGTGAGAGAGAGAGAGTGAGAGAGAGGAAAGAGGAAAGAGGGAAAA